CATTCCTGTCCCTGAAGACAGAATTTTAAAGCAGAACAAATAGCTCAGACATATAAACAGGAGAGGAAAGCACTAACATGTGATGCACTGCATCCTGCAAAGGGTACTCGAGACCAAAAGTTGCCCGCACACTCCAGCAACACTTTCATGTTGCTCACAAGTTGCTCAACACTCATCACTACTGTTCAGCTGCTTAAAACATGCACTTACGTGCTTTTGCCACGGCACCCTGTAATGGCCAAGGAACAAGTGCTGAAGTTGTACATATGGTGTAGTAATCTCAAAAGATTGACTGTTATGATATTTTCCTCCTTTTCCCCAAAGAGGAGAGGTCTTTGCCAGGTATCTTTGGCCACAGGTTTACTAATATGTATGACTCTTCATTCTCCAAATTCACGTTACACACTACTGCATCACCGATATATTTGCTTAAAACGTCACCTGAACTAGCTCCCCTTCCTTGTGCAACAACACATGCTGCCTTTAGGGCAGGAGATAACAATCAAGATGCCAAAGGGAAATCAAAGATACCACATCAGAAATAATCAGAACATTTGTACAGAAATCCTCTCTATAATAATATTTCTACAGAATGAAATATGAAGGCATTCTTTTTCCCCAACCAGAACATCTGAAAATAAGCAGACTATGCATTTTATCAATTTAGGGACAGTTATTAATCCAGACAGTGCTTTCTCCTCCAGTTTGCTGGAGAATACCGATCTGGCTAGAAATACTTCTTAAGGGATCAAAATTTGGCTGGCTGTTTGCATTGGTACCAGCTAACAGCCCTGCCAAATCTACAGGCTTTGCTATTAGCACCAGAGAACGTCTCATCCAACTTTGTTTGCTGGTCAAGATTTGACTTATTTTGTCTTATTTGCCTGAGACTTGAAAGCTAAAAGCAGCGCAAAAATCTCCAGAAGCATCTTTATTATCAACAGTTTACTGCCTGAAGCAACAAGAACTGCAGTACTGCTGCTGAATCACAGATGTTAGAAGTTCAGTTCAATGTGATTACCTGGGCCAACTCTGTGACTGTATCTGCATCCACAGTGGACATATCCACATAACACTTCCCTGGGCGAATCCCCTGCAACACTCCACTCGGACCAAGTACCAGCTGTGGGGAACAGAAGAGCGGGAAAGCAATAGGGTGTCTGCAAAGAAACTCCAATCCTGCAGGACAGCAGTTCAAGCAAGCCTGGCATTGCAGTGGTAGTCTCCTAAGAGGGATATCAAAACCTACCCCCTGGGAATATTTTTTAAGAAGTATTGTTTTTGTTGGGGCATTTATTTCTACATAGTTGCACTGACCAGCATCTACTATGACCCAGGTTACCATGATAAGCAGGAATCAGAACTGGCATTCAGTGACTGTATCTTGTAGTCTACCTGGTGGAGGAAAAATAAGAGCTAATCCTTACATCCTTTGCTGCTTTTGGATCTGATACACAGGCAAAGGTGATGTCACAGGTGGAGACAACTTCAGCGGGGGTTCTTCCCAGCCGTGCCCCCTCCTGGATGAACAAATCACACTGCAAAAGTCACAAATCCAAACATAAGAAAAATTAAGTACAGAGCAAATGGGTTCTCTAGCATTTTGCTGAAACAAACTCTGCTGCTGGACGCCACTCAAAAGGAGTCAGGCATATTAACTGCATAGCAAGTGGGCTGTCTTCTATTGATTTGTCCACACACACAAGGGGCTCTTCTGCAGCTTTTCTGAAACCCCAAGTGAAGAACTTCAAAAGAAGGAGGAACACTTAGGAAAAGAGGAATGCTTAGGTGAAATTTATTATAAAAGATTGAATGTCATGGTTCTTCGAGGAGAGATGAGGGGAAAAAAAAATTGGTAAACAGACATAGCAAAAGGTGTTACTGGACAGTAAACAGGAATATGCACAGCTGAGACTGACTTGTTTTAACGGGCTGCTGCTTCAAAATCTTAGCTCCTTCTTACCCTATCCCCTCATGCTATCCATGTTTGGCAGTTTAAAGAAAAATTTAATCCCTTTTAATAAAGTAACCACAGTGTCCTTTTTGCCTTTGAAATTCCACAATATCATCTGAGTACCACATCTGCCCCAGTTATGTACTTTTCCTCACCCACTACAAAGAATAACACTGGCTAGAATACAAGTGTAATATAAGCTCCATTTTCACTTTGAATACCCCTGTAAAACCTTTCTCATCCTGGTCTTATGACACAGCAAGTTTTCAACAGAACCTTTGCTACTGCAACATGAACAGCACAATGGATGTGTAGATGAAGCTGTGGTCAAGCAGTGCACCTTACCACACCACTCCTAGGATCAGCTCCCCAGCACCTGGTCTTTTTGTCCAGCTGCATGACACAATAACTTGGCTATTTACATCAGCAATATTTCCAGAGGCACTTTACATTGCATTCCTCAACACATATACAAGGTTGTGATTTTTCTGACAACTCTCATATCATACAAAATGGCCATGGGGTGAGGACTGTTCACATAAGAGTGACCATGCTAGGACAGACTACAGCTTCACCTAGTCAAAAGTCGCCATCAACAAACACCTAGGAATTAATAATAGAACAAGGTGGCAAGCATAGACTTGTGTCTATTTGGCATCCTCTCCCCAGTACCACCAATTGGTGACTCCAAGCCTACCTGAGCCAGAGGTAGTAACTACATGTTTAGAAAAGGTTAAGTATCACCTATACCTTAAGCACATGCCTACCTTCTCAGCAGTCCGGTTCCAGACAGTGACAGTGTGACCCATCTTCAGTAAATTGGAAACAATGCCACTTCCCATCAGGCCAAGTCCCAGAAATCCTATCCTGAAGGAGGAGATAAACATTAATGCAACAGAAAGCAATTGGTGTCAGCCTCTCATGGTCTTGGAAACGATGAAGAGCAAACCCTGCAGCATCACCAGCAAAAAAATCCCAAAAACGCAACAAAACCAAACATGTTCCACTGTGGCCATGGCTAGAATGAGCAAATACTGAGCTTTAAAAGCAAGCTGGTATTTGTTTTGCTTCCTAAGAATCCCTACCAATTTCCTGAAGAAAGCCTTTAGTCTGCTTCAGAAGACTACCTAAATATTAAACATTTGTGTGGTCTGGGATTTTTTGTTTGTTTGTTTTGGGTAGTTTGTTTGATTAAAATTGCTGCTCTTGTGCTTTCTATTGCCAGCCATTGCCCTAACTGAAGATGAAGGGAACATTTAGAGATCTGCAGGTGCTTCTCTGATTAATCTTCTGATTTTTAAACTAAGTCACAGGTGCAATGACTTGCTTGTACTATTGAATGATGTTACAATCTTTGTTTTAAGGAAGCCCAGCAAGGACTACTGGGCTAGGCATCATGCACAGACCAAAGACCTGACCCCTGCTCTACAGCTGCAATTTTGGACAGACACAGACAGAAAGGAAATAATAGGTCAGTACAGGTCATGATGAGCAACAATGCAATAGTCCCAGATACCAGCTGCCTTCCCCTGTGCCTTTGCCCCATCCCCCCACCTCAAAGCTGGCAAGAGTTTTGCCTCCCCATTAAGAAAAAGACAACACACTAACAAGTTCCATCCCTACAGTTACGTGCAACAGGAATTCCTTTGCAGTCTCTGCTGCAAGGATCCGTTTATACATCATGCAGCTAGCTTCATACCAAAACCACAATTCTAGTAGGAGATTCTGAAGTGTTCAGTTACACATCCAATGTAACTTCACAACAAAATCTGCCTGGCAATTCCCCAGTTAATTATTCAGAGTTAGCCACACTATAGATGCACTGTGGCTTTTGCAAGCCACCTGCAGTCTAGCCATGCTGCCTTTTGTTAGAGCAAACTACTTTAGACAGGTCACAGCAAGACACTATAGGCTCCTTAAACAGCCCAAACAAGGTCTACCTATCTTCAAGTCTCTAAAACTGAGGAGTTGTTATTTCTCTCCCAACCCACCCTTTCCTGAGAGACTGTTTTTACCTGAACAGCTTCATTGTTATTTTGATTGCCCTGGAGTACAGCTGAGAACTGACATCCCCCCAACGGCAAACAGCAAGCCGTGGCCTGAACTGAATTTGAACAGAGCGGAAGTTAGAGTGAAACAGGAAGCTCAAGTTAAGCTTCTCTCACTCTATAAATGTCTCTTCTGGACATTAGAAGAAACCAGAAAACTCACGTGCTACACAACAAAGCTTGTGTGCTGGGAGAACACGCCTCCCTCTTCCTCTTGTCTTCTGTATGCTCAGGAAAGCAATTAAACAACCCCACTCAACTGCCAGACACTACTAGAGAAAGATACCCTTTTATCTTTCTGCCTCATACAGCATTCAGAAATACTGCTGTTTAATGTTCTGCAGTATGGCCTGCAGGAAACGGGCCACTGCAGAAAAGCCGTGAATTGCCACTGTATCTATGCCAGACCTTATACTGAATTTTCCTACCGTACAGCCTGTTTGTTTTTAGCTGCCCCCCTCCCTCCCCCCCCAAATCAGAGTTTCACACAAGGACAGAGGAGATCTGTAGTTAGAGGGAAATGTTAGGTTTATTTATTCTCAGTGACAAGCTGAATAACGGCTGCATGTACGAGCTGGGAAGAAGAAAAAGGAAGGGAAATGGCTGAAGTGTGTTGGAGATCTTACTTTTTGTCTGTAGGCGTGATACTGCCATTGACTGCTGTGCTGTCTGCTGCCTGGATGGAGGTGGATCCTGTTTCCTGGATGGTGGGGGTGAAGGGAGAGAAGGAAAAAAAAAAAAAAGTAGAGTGCACAGCTCTGGAGGAACTGCAAGTCCTCATGACAATACGGAAAATACATCAAAGCCAAGATTTGCCTTACCTCTTCACAAACTTTCAGCTTCTTTGTGATCGCCTGATAGCAGACAGCTGGCTGTATGGAGAAGACACAGCATTCAGAAGGACAATGGTGATTTGCTCTGCTGAGCAGACAGACCATATCCTTGCTACATAGAAACAGGCAGCTCACCCATCCACCCTCTTCTGCAAAGCAGGAAAACGCTCAGGCTTCCCTCAATAAGGGACGAATCCTATTGCAACAGATTAAGCTCTTCCTTTCCCACCCTGCCCCAACAATTCAGTCCATCTTCTGATACAGGTACTGCAAACTTCTTTCTGTAGTTCATATGACAGGTTCCTCTAAGAGGCAAGGATCCAGGGTATCCCTACTCTCACATTTGGACCAAAGAAAACGGAGATCTCTCAAGCCAGCCATAGAGCACCTTGACTCTTATCTATGCTCAGCATGTCAATGCAGCTGTGGAAGCAAAACCTTCTTGTTAATGAGAAGGCATGTGGCTTTCAACAAACATTAAGGTGAAGGATGCTCCTTACCATGCCGCTTATGTGAGTTTGTCTAGATTAAAACTGTTAGCTGCTCTTAATCCTTCTGGATCTGCCCAGACCCTCAGCTAGATAAAAATCCTTTTTCATTTAATTTGAGCTTTCCTTTTCCTCCTGATGTTGACTGCTGAACATAAAATCCTATAAGGCTTCTGACTCAGGAGATAGATTGGCTGTATTTTACATGGAGCTTTTCTGGTCCTAGAAATTCTCCTGCCATATTCAGTTAATTGACAAGTTCATCCAGATGAAGGAACTGATAGAACAATCAAAGACATTGAAACAACAGGTGTTTTAAACAGAAAAAACAGCTTCTCCTATCCCTCAATGTTCAAACCACAGAATTTACTCCAACACATCTGTCAAATCCTAGTGCTAGATAATCTTTAATTACTTGAACTCTTGTTTTACACTGTACTCAATGCTAAATCATTCTAAACCTTAAGGTTAGGAAGTAATTGAACTACAAGATTGCATGTGAGAACCTAGTTGCTGCTAGCCCCCAAAAAACTGAATTTCAGAGTTCTTTACACATACTCCTTGTAGTCAGTCCCAGCAAAGGGCAGGATGCCAAGCTAAACAGACCAGCAGAATTGCTCCTTCTGCCAAATCCTCACCTTCTCTGTCTGGCTCAGCCGGAAGTGATGAAAGTGTGCATCACTGTCCTTCACAGGCTACAAAGAGAGAAAGTACAGGCTCAGAAACATTCCCAGAAAGTCACTGAGCATCGACAGCACAACTCCCTTGCCCTCCCAAGTTGCATGAGAACAATAGCTTAAGGTGGAAAATACAAAATGTATCAGCTGTATCAAGTTGCCTCTTTCAATTAAGCTGTTTACATTGTCTTTCATTCTCAAAACCAAAGCCATTCGAGTCAAATTCCTCATTTTTGGATATCTGTAGGAAAACCAAAGATTATGAGCAACATTAACATCAGAGGAAGAGATCTCATGTCCCATTTCTTGCTCTTCCCAAGGAAATGAAAACACTCATTTTCCAGCTTCCAAGGAACTCCTTAAAACAGCATTCTGGGAATTGGCTGGAGATTACAGCTAGCACTGTAACATGCTAGGCAAACCCATATTAACAGCAGCAAGGACTTTAGGCCCAGGTATCTCACCTCCCCAGTGAGCATCATATGCACTAACCTAGAGTCACACTGCCCTTACTCTGCTTTACTGATCACTTATTTATGCACAAAAATGAAAGCTTTCCAAAAGCTGTTTATGATGGAAAACAAATGAAACCACCCCATACTATAGTCTCTCCCTGTCTGGATACTATCCATATCATCTCCTCCAGTTTTGGGAAGGCAGTCCCAGAAATACTTCTGAAACCAGAAAGTGCAAAAATGAGTGCAGCAAGTTAAGTGTGAATCTGCAAATCGTTCCACAGACTGAAATCTCACTTCCCAGCATACTACTTATGTGCCCAGAATATTGTCTAGCTTTGTTACATTACAGAATGACAGAACAAGAGCATCTTATTTTGTTCCTAGAGGAGGAAGGTAAGATCTCACTCTTTTACAGCCCAGACAAAAGGTTCTAGATTTGCTTCCACAAACTCAGTTCCTAGATTGCACATATTGTAAAGTTTCTCACCTCACTGACACTTGGCGGCCATTTAAATCCAGCCACAGTTCCAGTCATCACTCTCTTCACTGTGCTTGACTCTGGAATTGTGAGGTCCTGAGGAGACAGAAGGAAGATCAGAAAGAGCTTACAACCTGTCTCAGTGGCTGGCCACAGCACGTTGATCACACGAGCACACATGCAGAGTTTTGAAAAGCACTATGAATGCCTTCAATTCCACATGCTTTTCCATGAAGAGTTCATATTTAAACACACAGTGTACTATCAACACAGATGAGATGAAGAAAACATGAACTGCCAATGAAGGAATTCAACCACAGTCATGGCTTCTGGAGAATCCATTCTTCATACATAAGAGGAATCATTGCACTTGTGTAATCATGCAATGAGCAGAGAAGCAAATACACTTGATCCAGCATTCTCCTCTGGTAGATCCAAAAACTAAACAAATGGGCGAAGAACATCACCACAATCAGAGGTCTGAACTCTTCTGATCCTCCACTGCCATAAAAACGTAGCCTATCTGTTAACAGGAGAACCTTCAAAGCATGAGGCTGGTAGTCACATCTGCTGAAGCTTGCAGAATCCATGAGACAGAAACTGGTATGTGGACTGCCCCATTCACTCAACAGGCCCTGATCTGGAATGTCACTTAACGCATCAGGTTTTTTTACTGTTCAGCAGATTTAAATTTATCATTCTTATTTCCCGAAGATAGCTTAAAATAGGTCTTCATGCTATAGGTCACTGACATATAGATCTTTATGCTATATGAAGAGAATGTGCAGGACTTCTGCATACAAAAGCAAATAGTATGTGTTATCTTCCTGAAATGAGGGTTCAGAAATGGAATCACATTATCTCCTCTCCAAAATTACTTCCTGAAGTGTACAATATACCTTAGTGTCACGCAGAACCACAAGCGGAAAGCACTGTAAGAGCAAGACTCCTGGAGGTAACCCACACTGATGCAACTGTTTCACCTGTTAGCAGGGACTATCTAGACATCAGTCTCCAACCTTAAAGTGTCATTTCATTGTAGGGAGAGCCTTGTACACTAAAATTCTCTCGTTAGAGACCACACTGCTGTTTCAACTGGTAAGCATGGATGAAACCTGCCTCGATACCAATTAAGTCATGTTGGTCCTTTGAAAATATTCATATAAGCTTAAAAATGAGAGTATTTGAATGATTATGTATGCCTACATAGAGCATTTCTAGATAGAGCACACCTCAGCAACAACGGGATCCTTGAATTTTGTGCATTCTTATTACTTGGAAAGCCAGAATTTGGACTGTGATGGGGCAAAAAACCCCAAATCCCAACACTGCAGTAATTCAGAACAGTGACATAAATGTTTTCTACACTAGGGCTAAGAATTTGGGGAAATTTTGAGAACCAGGCAAGAAGATGACAAAATTTTAAAATTATTTCACAGGATGAAAAAGAGCATTAAGGCAGTACTGTTATATTTTCATGGGAATTTCTCTACATTACTTTCCAGAAGCGGTAAGGCTACTTTCCTATATTAGCTTGCTTATTTTCATGGTCTGTGGCCAGACATTTATCACACAGCCAGCCATCTCTTTGTGATAAACTGTTTAAGACCACTCCACGTGCAATTTGGCAGTAAAATAATACCACAATTAACTCTCTCAAAGCGCTCTGATGCCCTGAGGTAGCTACAACAGTAAAACTTAAGCATGTCAAATGATCAGAATTCTCCCAGCCATTAGCTTTGATAGATTAATTACAAAATTTATCTCAAAGACACGAAAGCATTTTAGAAGTGGAAAAAAAGCCCCATGGCTTATTGTAACAGAAATATGTGAAGATACAACATGGTCATAGCAAGACACTTTGAAAGGTGAAAGTATGTTGCTGGTAAAAGTGTTTTCCTGTACCAGTCAAGTAAAAAATTCTGTAATTATTAGTAAGAATTCAGAAATATGCATCCATTCTTCCTCCCCTCCAACTTCCCCCTAAAAGGAGAAACTGATGGGCTCTGTTGTAGAGCCTGATCTAACAGAAGCTGTCTCTAAAAAAAAAAAGCCAGTATTTCCTTCATAGCTAATACCTGAGATGATCAGCTTCATTTTACTACCTCAAGAAAAAGTTTGCTGTTCAACCAATGAAGGCCAATCCATTCACAATTTTGGAGATCAAAGACTACCATCTTGACTTGCATCCTGAAGTGCACTGAAAGCAAAGATTGTGAAGCACAGCATAACATGATCCCTTTAAAGCACAGGTGAGCAAGCAGGCTGCCACATGGTCCATCAGCTGAAATCTCCCAATGGTCTTCAGGCGTAGTCTCCAACGGAGCACGTGCATTGTAATAATCCACTGAAATAATTATCCATTTGGAAAAAGGAAGATCTGGACCACAACAATGAGTTCCACGATAAATAAAAACGCTGGAACTCTAGATGAGGGTGGACAAAGCACTGGTGGCTATTGTTGCTGCCACAACATCCAGAAATAACAGAGTGGGCATAAAGTAATAATAATACTCCAAGGTTGAACCTTTATAATGAAGGATGGAAATATATCCTACAGCACAGAAGCTGAAATGAATGCAATTAATTCTTCTGGTGGATTCCCCAGGCTACAAGAGTTCCTTCCTTAAGCCCTAGCCCTTAAGAATATCCCACCCTCTGTAAGTACTGAGGATGAAGTTGAGTGTCTACTAATCACTTAATCATACAAAGTAGATGAGATGGGAGAAGTCAGGAATCAGATGAAGACCCATATCTCTTCACTAATCCTTCCCACACAAACAGAACTTGAGGGATGGCAAGATGAAAGGTGAAGTCTCATGATACAGCTCTCAAAGCCCTCTCAAAGATATGAATGGAGCCACTCAAAATAACTAACTGGTAAAAATTACAGGAAAAATTAACAATATGCTTGCCAAAGGTATCAGGCAGCCAAATGGTCTAGAAGTACTAACAGAACAGCTTAAAAAAACCCTGATACTGAACTGACTCTTCTTCCTGGCCTGCTAGTCAAGGTGCCAGTCAACCCTAGAGTCCACCTGCAAACTCCACAGGGCACTGGTGGATATGCACAACACAAACCTTCTCATCCTTGGGTGGACGCCCCCGCTTTCGGGGGCTCTGATCCTGGGCTCTTTTCAAAGGTGATTTTGATCCTCTCTCTGACGATACAGAAGAGACCCTCTTTTTTCCTTCCCCTGTGCCCTTCTTCAACTTCCCTTCAGACAAGCTGGCTTTGCGTTTCTCTTCACCAGCAGATTGCTTGCCTCTTTCTTCACTGGAATTACGTCGATTCTTCTCTTCATTGGAGTTATGGGAAGACGCCTGAGAGATTACAGAATAGAAGATGGTAAGGAACGAAGAGAAGAGCTGGAATGATTTTCATGCAAAACCAAGGATGTGAAGGACCCTGTGCCGATTACTATCAAGCAAAACAACAGCACAGTAAGTTGAAAACTAGGTATTTGTTAGCCCTTTGAAATCGGTGAGTGAAGTTCCTGGTTAGCTCTCCTGCAAAAACTCATCAGTTTAAAGTAAGCAAGTAACAGAACAGGCCACTTGAAGACTTGCTGGGAGTGTGTGCACATACACGCACTTCTGATATACTAAAAGCAAGATTAGTAGGTATCAAATTCTAGCCCAAGACTTAAGACTGATTTATTAAATCATCATAAGTGGATCAATTCGCCTCCTCAGTTTCTCCATCAGTTTAACAACACTTTTTTCCACAACAAACAAGACTGAATGGGGAAGATGGGGGGGGGAAGGGAATGAAAACAACCCCCTCTCTCCTTTGCCAGAAGCAACAAACACCTTTTACATAAAAATGGATCTGACCATCATCCATGCAAAGGCTTGTTTTTGATGCACAGTAAAAAAGAAACCACTCACCTGGTCCTTGCCTTTGGTTTTTCTAAGAAACTCCTCTACAGCATCCACAGCTTGCTGGAAGCGCTTACCCTTGTTAATCTTTATCATTTCCTCTTTGTGAGGGTGATAAGGCTTCAGCTGCTCCACTTTGATCCAAGCACTAGAAACAAGAACAACAACGTGAGTTATATTCTCCGAACAGCAACTTTCTCAACCATTCCACTTTTAGAAACACACAGATAGCCTATTTTTCTCCCCAGAACAACTGATGATAACAGCCCAAACTCACTTGCTTGCTACAACCTGAAGGGCTGTGATTTCTGCATTCACCAAGGACTTTCTTCTGGCACTTTTACATGGTTTCTCTCTCAAGCTTTATATCCTCTCATGCTATTTGTATTCTCTGTCAGCAAGACAGCTTTCGGATGTGATCATAGGTCCTTGTTTAGAACAAAGGCAGTCTAGTGACTGCTCTTGTATCACCGGGAGGAACACCCACAATCACACGCCTCCACATAAGGTAGCCAATAAAATGAGTCTGCTCAAAAGGTTGTTGAAAGCAGAGTTCATGTAACAATTCTAAGCCATCAATCCCTTGTTCAAACATACTGTGCACACAAGTGTCTGTAAAAACTGGAGAAAAAAAATTTATGTATCTTACAATAGAGCTGACCACAAATAAAGTGAGTGCAAATGCCACAGCTTATTGCTGAACATTATTTCTGATGTACCTTGATATTCTGCATGAAAACAACATCTTCACTTTTGAGGAAAAAGAACCATTTTCCTCACTCTTGACATTTTAAGATAAACTGGCACAGTACCAGAGTATTAAACTGACTGCAGTCCTAATAAAAAAACTCAAACGATTTCCCTGTTCCCACTGCTACTAAATAGGACTTCCTGACATTTACCAAATGGTTAAGTGTCAAGTACAGGGTGACAACTCCACTTTCCTTCAGTCTGACAAGCTCTTCTACCACTCCTTCACTGCAGCTTAGGGGAATGCCTTTGCTTTCAACATCCCTTGGGGCTCTCGCAGAGATTAGAGTACCTTCCTCTCTCCCCAAATTCAGGCCCAGGCTTATCACCCACACTGTTACAAAGCTATTTCCATCCTACTGAAAGTAGACCTGTGTAAGTTTTAGAAAAGCTTTTACTGACCTAGGATGGCCAGCAGTGCTTCTTAGCATACAGCAGCCCAGCACACAGTAAAAACCAGTCAAACTGATTTTCTCTGGTCGCAAAACATCTCTACGTTACAAACATTGACTAGCCATGATTACAGGTTTTAAATACTCTCCAGTGCAGTCTAGCTCCTGCAAGCAGGTGAAGTGGTTTAATAGCAGCCTTTTCAGACACTGTACGCATCGTGTCATACAGCTAAACTGAACATAAAGGTGAAAATAATAATGCTTTGCTGGATCTTGCTTGTTCTCTCTTCACAAAGTAGTAAAGCCCAGTTTAAAACTTCATGGAGATCCTTCTCTTCACTAGCATTAGCCATTGTTTGTAGTCAGGAATCAACTCACTTAAGGTAGACAAACTTTTTGGGTTGCATTTGGAGAGATGAGGCCTCCTGCTAGAACTGACTGCAAAAAAAGCCAGCATCCTTTCCCCACTGCCAGTATAGCCTACACCGTGATTCCACCATAGCCTGGAAGCAGAACCCAGTACTCCTTTGCATGCAAAGTTGAGTCATTTTGCTTAGTTTACATCACCTTCATAACTGACTTAACATAATGTAACGAGTCAAATCATTACTTTCAGACCAGAGCTTGCCATCCAGCAGCTATTCAGGGAATCCCTGCCAGATGCCCAGACATAGTGAAAAATATCTTAAAATTCTCTTATACTGTAAAGCTCTTCTGTGTGGCGCTCAGTGACAAAGCACCCCTACATACTAGATAACATCAGCTCATGAGAAGCCTTTTCCTTTATGTACATAAAGGAAACAAAATTTTGGAGTACATTATAATAAAGCATGTTAAATGTTCTTGCCAGATTTTAATTTCTAAATAAAAATAACTAGTTTTCTATCAAGGCATTCTCTTAGGTTTCTGCACATCGTATCCCTCCTCACTGCACATGTTCATTAGCTTCCTTTCTCATTACTTTTCCTTTGGTATGGAGGTGGTCCGAAGCACAAAGATTTCTGGCTCCTGACTTTGAAGGTACATCTTGGCACTTGTGATCCCCTAGGACAAAGAGCCAGAGAACTCAGAAACTAGTAAGTGAAAAACAGTATTACATGCTGCCTCAGGGTTAAAAATAAATAATAAAAATAAAATAAAATAAATAATAACATAAAAAATAAAAGGTCTTTTTCTTTCCAGTTTATCCTTTGTGTGTCACCTACCTGGACAACCTTCTGTAAGATATGAACAAGTCTTTTGACAACAGATGTCCATAAAGCATTTTTGTGTGCAACTTTCCACCAAACAAAATCATTCATGTTTATACACAAGATCTCTCTCTGTTAAGCAATATCCTCAAAGGCAATGAACATCAATATTTAGATGAAGGGTCTCCTAGGATGCAACATATAAAAGGAACTACTATTTCTCTCCTGACTCAGCAATGAATTTAATGCCCTAGAAAAGCATTAGTGACATTACATTACTGAAGATGTCATACTTAAGATGAAATTGTATTCATACTACTGCACAGAGTCATCTGGTATCTGTAGAGAATGGGCTAAATGGAAAGTGAAAAGATGTAGAAAAGATACATGTTAGTAATGCATTTCTCTGCTCATTTCTCCATACCCTTCCTTGTCCTCTCCAAAATACCATTCTTATAAAATCACTACTCATGTAAAATCCATGTTATATTCATGAACAATAATCAAAACTTAAAATGCTTGTAAAGCAGAGGCAAGTACCAATGTGACCTGGAGCTGCATGGAAAACAGTGGCACAGAAGAGATGCAACCAGAGATACCGGATTCAAATCCACGATACAAGCTTAGCACAGGCAAGGAGATCTTAAAACCCCTGACTTTCAAGCCAGTCTTTTCCAGTCTAAAGATATAAATTCCTAATGGTAAACTGGAGAAATTAAAGTGGAGGAATATCCACAAATACTCACTTTTTGCAAGCGTTACAGTTAGGGACGGAAAACAGCAGAACTGTATTTCCAAATTTCTATTACTTACTACAGTCTGGGAAAAATTCATAAAGTTTTACACTGCAGCATTTTAGATGCCCACACTAAATCCTAACACAACCAATTTTGAAAGTCAAAAGAAAATTGCTTGGTTATTTACAAGCCCAGTGTGTGCAAGCACACAACAGAGAAATCAAGATGGATTTCCTGCTGTTAAAAGGGAATGCCCCAATTTTCACCAGTAAAACAGCTCAAATGGCTGAACTCTGGAATTTGATATGTAAACTCCTTAATGGAAAAAAAAAAAAAACAAAAATGACCACACTACATTAGAATAAATGCAGCTAAAAGGAGGGGATACTTGGCAAAAGAAAACAAGCAGCAGGGCAATACTGAAAGAAATTCTAAGTATTAGATTTTTCAAATTTGTGCAATAAAAAAATGTGCAGAGTACTTACACATCCAAAGGTATCAGCAAGAGGTGGAAAAGTTTTGACTATAGTAATTTTCAGCTACGGCAACTCCACCTGCAGAGATCTCTAACAACATTCCAGCTGTCTCTACTATACAGCAGCCTGGCTAGAGCAACATAGAGCTCTGCATGGGATAATGTGCCTAACTGAGAAACACCAGCAAGGTAAACTAACCCTCTCTGTTAGATTAGCCTATACCCTTTGGCTCCTCAGAATGCCAAAGAGTACCATATCCAACACCTGTCAAACTTTAAGCAAGTGTCTTCTGATGTCAGGACCTGAAAGAGCATTTTAGAAAGACTACATCCAAAAATTTCTCTCCTTGAAAACCAGGCAGAACACTGGCAGAGAAGAGGGCAGGTGTTTGCATCCCAACAGGATATGGAGGATGGGAAGGCAATGAGTGCTGTGCCAAAATCACTGTGCCTGATGCAAATGGGCTGCAGATTATATATACTTATCTTGGATTGCAAGTTTCCTCCAATTTCTCCTTAATATTTCAAGTCAGGAAGTGCCCCTTGACCCCACCAAATTTAGTGAGACTATTCAGTTTTATACTGATGCTTCAAAAAGATGGTATGAGTAAGAATTGACTGCTCCACCTTCCTATTAAGACTTTGATATATATGACTCGCAAGACCATTTGGCTATTACAGAATATCTAAGCGGGGGAAGAAGGTGGGACCGGAGGTGAAATGTGCGTGTTGCACACACGTCTGATGACTGCAGGACTCTCCCTAGTACTTGTATGAAACACAGTAGAATGATACCTTCAAAGCAATGATTAGTTTTAGTTTTGACAATGTCATAATGAATTCCCAAGCAGGCCATGAAATCTAAGAATATTTTGAACTCAATGAGACACACAAAGACAGACTTGTAAGCTATCAGCCTGCCAGTCTACTAGTTCCAACTACTAAAAGCAATAAATGCACGCATATAGCAATGTATAAGTTCGTACATTGCAGTACTTGACTACTGGAATGACCTGCAAAGATTTCCTATGACAAGACTGTAGCTGGGGAAATAAAAGAGGATCTAAAACCTATCTGAAAGGCACAGCTAGAAACACAGATAAGAGTTCAAAGTTCCACTGCTATTTAGAAAGACTAAATCAAACTTGTTGTTTATAATCCCGTAACTGGATGTCATTACCTGCTTGCCTGGTCTATGGGCAGGAAATATCAACTCTTCTTGATTTTAGATGAAGAATTCTTTTAGTGTGACTTACTCTGAGAAGAGACACTCAGAAAAAGAACTCCTATCGATTTGGAGAACAAGTTAATAAGAGACATTACATGATTATGTGCCTCAATTAAGGCAATCACGTAGAATAGGACACGGATACTATATTACGACTATGAACAGTAAGGTGGATTTCACTGTGGTAAAGCACAGGTATACTTCACAGTTTAAACAAATAAGCAAATTCTTCTTCCATGGGTAGAGAATCCTTATCTTCCCGAAAACATATTACTTTGAAAGTGACAGAAGCAACTAACTCCACCAACACAACAAACATAAGGAGCACAGAGCTCAGTAGAAACTTTATCAAAAGCCAGGTCTTACAGCACAGTCTGAATGCACTCATGCTTTCGCTTTTATGTCTTTGGTCAGAACTACTTACAGCTTTCCAGTTAATGTACTTCCTTCGTCACTGCAGCATTGCACTGGGACAGTAAGTATTAGTATTCAATTCACAGGTAGAGAAAAATGCATTGTCTTCTGTGCAGTATCCTAAGCTCTTCAGGACTTCACAAAAAACCAAAACCTATCTATATACTACCAAAGCCACTTCCAAAATCATCAGTATGTTTTTATTCACCTGTCCACTCCGCTCACATGCATGCACACCAGTTCTTACTTCTAAGCAGTTTTCTCCTTAATCTTCGGTATGGCAAACTTGAGACACGTAAGTCAGGAGGAAGCAATTTTTAACTAGCCTGAAACAGTGGCAGTTCTGGCCACAGCAGTCACCTGTGAATCCTCAGAAAATAAGACTATATGAAGTCTGAGATTGTCTACCCATCACTGTCTGGCGACCACCCTCAGAAGTCTGTGAGAGGGATTCTTACCCAGCAATAAGCACCACCTTCACCTTACACACACTGGACAATAGGCAAATGGCTTATATCCAGATCCTCACCTGTTAAACCTTGACAGAGTAAGGCAATAATAGAAGGCCTGTAAAAATGGATCAGGGGTAATGTCACCTTACAAAATTCAAAGTGGCAGAAAGAGCAAAGTGCTAGAAAACAGAAGCAATGTGCACTAGAACATCAGAAAATAGTATGAGTCACTGTACTCATCACACCACAGACTACAGTCAGTGATGGAGCTTTGAATCCTCCTATTCAGCATGCTGTTCATTATATGGAGCAGTGACATTTTGTCAGTCACGTTATTCCCACTTACTGTTTATACACACCTAGAAAAAAGTATCTGCAAAATCCATTAGTTTACTTGCACAAAATAAAGGTATTTTCACTTAAAATGTGAGCATGAAGATAAGTAATTTAAATTTTTTCTGATCTGGTTCATTGATTATGCTCAAAGATAACGATTTTCTCAAGCAGCACACTGGTTAGAACAGCACAGTTCTAACCAACACATGCTTTTAAAGTTCCAGGTCAGGACAGAACAAGCACACAAGCTTCTCTCTCTTCTGTCTATCAACATTATTTTAAAAGAAGAACAAAGGGGACAGTATTTATTTCTATTTAATTTTCAGGTAGAGTATGCCAGTCAAAGCAAGTAAATTTCTAAATCATGATTATCTAGCGGGAAATGATTAAATTTCACAAGCTGGAGATGGGGCAGGAGGAAGAGACATGACAATGACCACGCTACCTTACCGTGCCAGATGACTGGATTTTCCCTAGCCAGAGCTCTAGAATTGTGTAATAAATCCCAATTATTTTGCAGCTCTGAACTCTTCATTTGCAATCATGCTGCTAATCCCAGCTATAGTACTCCAGACCTATGACCACTTTTTCCAAACTTGTCTTTCCAAACTTGTCTCCAAACAAAAGATCTCTGTATTTGATTCAATAATGTGAAATACAAGAATCGAGAACAAACAATTGGGACAGAAACAGTCAGCCTCTTCAACTTCTAGAACTTGATTAGCTCAAATAACCATGTTTAACAACAATGCCACCAAAAAAATCCACTCTCTACCCTCAAATCAACCTTCACCTGCCTTACATTACTAGAGATCCAACAAACGTTCCTATTATATGCAGCATTCACTTCTACTCCACCAAGTTTAGACCTCAGTTCTTAATGTAAAATTATTTTTAAATATTGAGCAAAAGTAATTTAGCAGTTGAAAATAACTTTCTTAAGAAACATCCATTAAAAGGTCTCAGTTCTTGTTGCTTTTTTCCAAAAAGTAATGGATTTTCTAGTCTTCTGCAAGTATTTGTAGTTTTCTCCTTTATTGCATGACTCAATGCAAACCAGCAGAAAATAGAGAGGAAAAACTGAAAAATTAGCAAAATAATTGTCTGTTTTATGAAATACCCAAGTTCTCAGGTTTTTGTTTATTTTTCCAGTTTGTAAGTTTCTAAGTCTAAGACAATGATGATTCTGCACATGTGTTCAGAAACAAGAAATTCTGCCTTGCAAAAAGATAGACTACAAGAGTGTTGGCTTGCCTATACTGTAAAGTCTTCCCAAAGCACAGCAAGAATGTTTTCAGTCACCAGGTATCACAGTATATTCTTTTACAAATGACAAGTATATAGCTGTTTTATTTTTCTGGCAGAAAAAAAAAAAAGGTAGAGCTAAGAGTATGCATTCTCATACATGCTTACACGCTAAAATCTAATTCTGTCATGTGACACCTTCTCCCCTAAAAATGGAAAGCTATCAAGAACTTTCCTTCGCAGCGGCAACTGAAATCCTAACATGATTGAGTACATATGTTTTTACAGTCTCCATACACCCACAAGGGGCTATAGCGTGCAACAATAGTTGATTTTTTTTGCATGTAGATTAAAGACAATCCTTTGCAAAGCTACGCTGTACTGTGTTAGTAAATATTTCTTCCATGAAAGATCCATATTATGTGGCACAGTATTTTCACCAGATGAAAACAAGCAGGTACATACTGATCTTCTGTTCCAAAAAACTTCACAAAGAAGCACTTTTTTCCACGAGGTTTCTTCAGATCTTTAGGTGGATTAACAATCTGAAGGTGATTAGAAGTGAAAGTTAAAAAGCACATAATGCAAAATTAATACTCTGTGATTTACTGCAATGTGGTACAGCTATTTTAATTTATTTTTAAAAATCTGACTAGGAAGAGAACTTGAATCTGTTTTAAGTCTTTCAAGTAAATATGTAACCCATGTATTACCTTACATATGGGTATGCCGCAGCAGAGTGAAAAAATACCTAAAGTCCACTGATACATCACTACACTCTTAGTGAGGTTTTCTTCTCCCTAGCCCCAACAGATAAACTAGCAACCTTTTTTAAAATCTAGAAAGCCAAATGGCACTAATAAAAGTTTGTTCCACTTCGGTAACTTGAAATTTACATTTAAAGCTTTGTCTTTACTCCCAGGATAGAGTGCTTATAGAGTTTAAAATATTAGTAAAGAGAAGAGCTGTCACTCAGTTACACAGGTGACACCTGAAAGACTGCAGGGGAGCCTGGACTTCACTTGATTCAATAACCAAACGTTTATGGTTGTCAGCCACACTGACAACACTTTTCCCTGCCACATCCTGTTATCTCTGCATGCTTAGTCCTCATACCTACACCAAAAATAAAAACAAAGATCTTTCAGAGAAGTAGAAAGAATAAAAATGGTACATATACTGTTTTTTTTAATGTTTGGCCTTTCATCAGAAAAAAAAACGCAACCAAATCAGAAGAGAAAGCTTAACTACTCCCTACTCCCAGAATTATTACACAAAGAACATAGCTCTAAAACTATCTGGTGAAGTCGGACTCTTTATTTCTATTATTTAATACAGTGCATTTAACCAATTTACTATGGGAGGAAAGAAACCTGTCTTGCAGAAAGTGACAGGGATTAAATAACTAAATCTGGGAAACACAATCAGTTCCAGAGCTGGATGAACTGCTCTCTGTTGCCTTTCATTCCATCTGAACTAACAGCTGTTAGTCACAGGCTGAACTTCTAGATCAAATAAAGTCCTAATCTGGTTCACAGTTCAGATTTGTGCGATATGTATTTAAAAAAAAATAAACATAAAAAAACCACACAACAAAACCCAAAACCAAAACAGAAGACCCAATATTAGTCTTTGACTGAAATGCTTTCAGGCAAAGCTTTCTCTGTGCAGAAGGAAAAAGCAAAAACAAACAAACAAAAACCAAGAAAGCAACAATAACAATAAAAATAAAACCAAAGCAAACCTCACCTTTCCTGGCCATGGAGGATACCGGCCCAGCTTGCCCCTAGAGAAAAAAGAAAGCATTAAGCACTAGAACCAGAGAAAAAACAACTATCCCCTGTCCACCTTTGTGCATTACATCACATTTTTCATATTAAGAGAGTTACAACTTACAGTCAAAACCTACCGTGAAAGGCAAGACATGCAGCTGACACACAAGCATTACATTGTTAGATACCTGCACCTAAACTAAGCCTCTGAACAGCCTGCATGAACTCACTGGACTATCAGAATTTAAGTGAACACAACAGCAGCAGCACAGCTACTGCCTGGAAGATACAGTGCTATAGTGCTTATTACTCTGGTAAGACTGGATATTCCCTCACAAGGAACTGAAAAAAGTATTGATGCAGGCAATCAAACCAAAGTTCAGGTTGGTAACTTATATCCATCTGGATAGAACAGCAGAGCAGCCACTGATTTACAGCTCAGAGAGCTGAGATTCTTAGAAGTTCTCACAGCAAAGCATTAATGGCAGGATCCCCTAAACAGGTGTTCCATTATCAATTTCTTCAGGTACTCGCCACCACAGTAAGACATGCTAAAGATACAAAAGAGCCATAAGAAAGGCAGAAATGTTTATTTCCTACACTTGCAAATGTTTCTGTTACGAAAACTACACAAAACTATTTCTTCACAGAGGAGGAAGAGACATTAGTCTTAGCCCTCAGCATGGTGGCTTTATCATGATCTGACCCTTGGCACTTACTCGGGCTGCAGTACTCTTACAAAACCTTATCAGTCATTGTCCTGCAAGAGACTGGCAAAGAACCTGTGGAGCCCGCCAGCTCCTGAACCAAAAGTTCTCAGCAAGTGGCACTGCAGCCCCTCCTGAGATGGCAATGCTACACAGACACAGCAGCAAGTCAGGCAGGAACACTGCCAAGAGCTGTAACTATGACCGTGTCTCATATTCGATGCTTACATTCTTGTACTGAACAAGACATTAATCAAAGCCTTGCATATGGTTCTGTCTTACCGTTAGAGTTCTTTTGCGATGGCTCTACGGATAGTACCTGTCTAGGTTGTCATGTACAAAACTAAAGCAGGATAATCTGCATTCCAAGACTGACAGCAGTGCACTCCCCAAATCGTTTGAAAAAAAAAATTGCTAAAAGGAACCAATCTTTACTTACTTTGCTATATAAATTAGACAACTTCACAGCACTGTCAATTTTTCGGACGAGAAACTGCGGTTGTCACAGCCCGGAGCACACGCTTCTTTTTATCTGGGATATAAATATAAATGCATGCACTTGCGTGTTGGGGATTAGCTATTTCTTGCAAGCTCTAGGAGGACACACGAGCCTATCAAGTACAGGAGAGCCTATGCACTTAAAAATCAGCGCTTACAGGGCTTGATGGAATTCCCTTAGTTCCCCTGATCAGGAAATACAAATTCACACATGACACTATTTGAGGGTAAAACTGGAGTGACAATAGGAAATGGCTTCTGTAAGCTTCAACTGGGACATCCTACTCTGCAAAAAAATGCTGTTTTCCCGGATTGTTGTGTTGTTTCATTAAAGCACTGCCAAGAAATGGTATCGTTGCTCTCCCTAAACACCTACTAACTTATGTCCCTTCTCACCTCCCTTAGGAGGAGACCGTATTTCCAACCGAACCCCATACCGATCGCCCCTCTGTCCCGCTCTCTTCACCCCCCTCCATCTTACACGGGTTCTTTTATGCGCCGCCTCCCGTTGGCCTCCGGTGCCGGCCCGGCTAAGAGCCGAGCCTGCCTTACTTCGGCCCACTCCAGTCCACTCCCGCGGCC